AGTTAAATATTTTCAGTTTCATGAGTTGCTAGTTCGCAAACGATTCCCGTACATTTTATTAGTTTATTTGAAATCCGTTGCGCTCCACTCTTTGAGCGGAAAATGGAATCGTAATAAATAATAACAAACTTTTTTTGTCGCCTCGCTGTATTTACTTTACACGTATGCTAACGAACTGTGCTCTCCTGGTTTGAATAATTGTTTTTTAAAACTTAATGCTTGTTAAAAAAATTTTGCCTTTTTGTATTGGAAACCAGGTTACGTGTATTTTGCCTCAAGATACGATTTAACGTTTTTACGTTATTCCCTCATATGTCAGCTTATAAAAGAAGACCGTAGGAATTTAAAATTGATCTTTCTTAATATTAAGGTCAACTCGACCTAAACATAGATCAGTTGATTAATTAATGTTTTTATAAATCCTGGATGTCCTCTTATTCCGGATTGATATAAATGCAAAATTACAATTTCTCGGAGGTTCTGTAACAGTTTATATAACGATAAGAATTTTAACATTAACTGCGGTTTCACTTTTTATGGGAGAAATGAAATTGTAACGCATAACAGACTTCAAACCATTTACGTCGTCTCGCTTAGGCTTTTCCACATATATTATAACGTGCTGTGTTCTTCCGATTTGAATAAATATATTTACAAATGAAAAAAATGTTTCAGAATAACTATTTTGGATTTCTAGTGAAATTATAGTTTAGCACCAAAAAAATGTCGCTTGACTGACATTATAGAGATTTTGAAAAAAAAAAGAAAACATGAAACCTACCTAATACGAACAAGTTATTGAAAATTTAGTTACGTGTCTTTTGCCTCAAGATACAATTTATCGTTTCTATGGGATTTACTCCTAGGTTAATTGAAAAATAAAAAGGACCTCATTGAATTAAGGTCAACTATATTCAAACATGGCTTAATCAGATAACGGTTATTTCATCGCGCGATGATTCTTTTTCAATGTTTATACGAACTCCCGATGTCTCTTATTCAGAATTGTTATGAATAAAAATTTAATCACGAGGCCTCAGAGGTTAATATTGCCGTGACAAAGTTGGTACTGTGTGGATGTGATAATGTGTTGGCAAAGTTGATACAACGAGCCGATACGAATCGTAAGTTCAAAGGTCAAATAACCTGTTATATATCGAATTCAGGAATATATTAAGGTTCAAGGCCGCTGGATCGTGAGCCGCTACTATTTTGAGAAGGGTTGTGTGTTGAGTGAACCATACTTTTAAGGTTGATACAAACTCAGTGTTGGCACCAAGTTCAAAGCATATATTCAAACGAGGCTCTGTCCAAGCCACTACTACATAAGCCGCTAGAATTTTCGGGTTCTGAAATTACTAATTGTCAACTTAGACCGGTATCCAGGCCTGACAGCGACTGTCATAATGGCGACTTCATAATAGCGACGTTATCAAGTGAGCGACATTCCAAACAGCGATTGTATAAATGGCGACTGCATTAAAACAACGACTGTTATGATAGCGATTTAACTCGTGTTCACTGAGTTGAATTCACTGAGCCGAATTTCCTGGTCGGTCGTTGGAAGGTAACGCTATGTCGTGTTAGGTTTAGGGTTGTCTCTGTTGTGGCAGTCGCTGTATTAAATGAATCGCTGTCGTGAAGTCGATCTATTGACAGTCGCTGTTTTAAATTAATCGCTTTTGTGTGGTCGCTCTATTGACAGTCGCTTTTCTGACAGTCACTATTTAGAACCCTGGTCGTTAGACCGTATCAGCTCGCTGGTCTGGCCACATATCAATTTTACTTTCTAATTTCTTGGTGTTCCGCGAGACGAGATAAAAAGCGTAGGTGTTCCGGTGAAAAAGGTTTGAGACGCTGCACAACGCCAATGCGCTATGGGCCAGGGTAGAATTAGCAAATTTATTGGAATGACTCATAGAGTTCAACAAAGTAGGTTCTTTCACTTTATCCACATACCTTTAAAATAGAAAACACTTAACTATAAAGCACCACAACCTGTTGTCGAAGTTTAAATCGCCAGATTAGGAATTGACGTCATCTAATCACCGCCTACCTAAGATGACGTATGGTTCATGTATGCAACTTAGAATCGAACAAGTGAGGTTATTTAGATTTAAATTTTCCAAATTTGGCAAAAATAATGCTCACGTATAACTGTTCCGTGTCATACAGGTGTTCGCTCATCTGGGTAATTAGTATTTAAGAAGATATTAGTTTGAATGGCGGTGGCTCTTAATTCTATTTTCGAAGGTGTAAATAAGGTCGTGAGAACTGTATTTACTCCTTCATAGCTGTTTCGAATTGGCATGAATTGCTCCAAGTCTGGTGGCAATCGGTATTCACAGCCAAATCATACGTTGAATCAACGCATTGGCAAAGGTAGAGACAATTTAGTTCTGCGCTTGTACTTTCATACAGATGGGAAATTTCCATAAATTTTTGATCAAATGAAATTTTCATCACTCAAAAACGGCGAATATTTAATTGTTGCATTAGATAATTTAAACTGGCCCAAGAAGAATATATTAAAAATTAGTGTTGAGACATAAAAATTGTAATATTTAACCAAATATAATGGGACGTAATTTAGGTTAAATTTATGATGTAATAAAATAAGTGAATAAGGAAACACAAATATGTCCATAATTATATTATTTAGACCGACGATATATATGGCATAAACACACAAAACTCCAGTGTTTTTAAGTTTTCTGCTTTAGAAAAATAACGATAAACACAGTCAGAAATGCGGTTTGCATACAAGTCAGAAACATAGTTTGACACTAATTCATGTCCTCGAGTAAACTTGCTTTGTTTTTGAATTCTAAAGATTCGCAAGAATTCGCCCCGGGTCGGATCAGCGCTTGATTGAATCGAGGATTACGCTTTGTTTTTCAATTTATTAAAAACGGATTAAACTGGAATTAACTGTCGAGTTATTTTCGGTCGTCGAGATATTTTGTGCGATCGCGTAAATCACGGGATATTTTGCGTAAATTGAAGTTTTGAGCCTTCAGGACGTTGCTAGCGTCATTTATTGCCACACCAAACCCAGGAAATTCCATACTGTCGAGTTCAAATACTCGATTTAAAATTATATTGCAATTATAAGACGTTTTCACGCAAGAAGGATTTTTCAAACTAATAATTGATTTTGTATAAGTTCAAAATTACGTCAAAAAAGCCACGTATTTAGAATCAAATAAAGAAGAATTTCAAACATTACTAATATTTCGCGAGATAACACTAATTCCAATTCCGCTTTAGGTTTTCACAATAACTTTCGCGGTAAATTTTCAAATTAGTTTTCAAACCTCCATCTTCGCAAATACGTCAAAAACGCAACGATTGAATAAGTTTCATTCAAGCTGTCACAAATCACGGTCTTGAAATATAAACAGGAATATGAAAAGCGGATTAGCAGGAGATGCGCCCAGTAACGGTGTCATGGCAGGTTAGATGTGTTTCCAAACAAAACATCGAAATTTCCGAGATTAAATCGGAGCTTCGCTGAGCAAACAAGGTTCGTATACACGAGGTTTAAATGCGCCATCCAATTTCAACAAGTTTGTGCACTAACGTCTACATCTGGGTATTCAAAAGTTTAATAAAATTAAACCAAAGGTTCATCTAATGCCAGTGTTTTTTTATTGATGATTCGCGATGATATTCTGATTCGTTTTGGATTCATAATTTTAGACAAACGTTTGATATTAAAAACTTGAAGATAAAAACACATATAGAATAAACCTGAAATAATTTGGATAAGGTTCGATATTCAGAATTTAATCGTAACTGCCTTCAATAATGGATATTACTGACCAAAATTCATCCAGATTTCATGCTGGATTAAATTCAATTGTCCAACCAGAATTATATCTGAATGAATTTCAAAACATAACATTCTCAAAACATAACATGGTTATTTTGCAGTTTTCATCATATTTCTGAATCAAAGGCTGCTTCTGTGCACTACCGATATCGTTTAGTGTTTGCGGTTGTAGGAGCAGCTTCAATACATCGCCGTATTAATCCGAATTAAAGTTTTCATAACGCAAGTCTTGACAACATTCAATAAACAAACATCAAGTTTAGAATTCCAATGACTGACATCACAATCCTTCCGCTAGCGTCGTAGTGATGCGGATTGAAACCGATATCACAGCTTATAATGTAAAGAATAAGCTGCTCCATATTGTCATTGATATTATGATCTGTTTCTTTGATTTTGTTTTAGGTTAGGATGAGTTTAACAGAGAAATAATCGTGACCCTAACTCAACTTATTCTAGTTCATCGCAATCATACCTTGATCACCTATAATATGATGTACCTTACAGTAAGCTTTACGTGCTGAATAAGTAGGCGCATCTCGCGCCTGGTCGCTACACAAATCTTAGATATACGATATCTTGGGAATCCCACCCTACGATTTATATGAATTTTCCAATCAGATTGTCCTTACTGTATTTGTAATGTATCAAATGTCGGAAACACGTCTATCAGTTGTTGTGTATAAGCCCTACGGACATGACATGGCCATATCTTACTTATTTATAAAACGTATATTGTAGGTTTTAGACAAAAATGGGGAAAATTGAAAAGAATGTCCTGAGAAAATGAAGAAAACATAATTCTTACTCTCTCTCGTTTTTTTTTTGCAATATTTAAATTGCGTCAAACTATGATCAGATACAAGCTTGAAGGAAACCTATTTCTTTATTATATTTTCGAAAATGTTTTTGTTGGTGACCGTACATTTGAACCCACGTACATTTGAACCCATATGTATATCCGTGAGTTCAATCTATATGCGGGTGCTAAAACCCATGGGTTAGGGTTAGTATGGGTTTAACTATCCGTGAAACAAAAAAAATTCTATAGGTGCAATAGTATGCAGGTGCAATTGTCGTGGGTTCAAATGTAATTGAACCGTTGTTGTTGAAATTTCAATATCCACCCTTTTTTCTCAAAACACTCAAAAAGAAATTTACTCACTCCATACAGCTGAACTGGCAGGTTGATCCTGGCTGGTTCTGGTTATCGCACGTGATCATTGAGTTTTCAGGAGGTTCGAGGAGCGGGCATTCATTGTTCGTTCGTCTGATATAGTTTTCATCAGCTGTAGGAAGATTTCTACCAGTTATTTGAAAATCACTCGAACATGCTGCTTTAATTCAGGAGAGTGTAACATTTTTTGTCGGTGGGCTATATAATCAACTTCAGATATCTAGCTGTGCCACACACAAAACTGTACACAACGAAATTTAAATCCTCCCAATGCAAAATTTTATTTATTCAACATTTTAGTGGGACAACTGGAATTTCGAGTTTTTGCATAGTTTGTTAACATCAGCTTTGGCAGAAGTTAAGATTTTATGCATGATGGGATAGAGTCTGAGTGTCGACAAGGGCCACACTAAATGGTTTTAAAACGCATGTTGCACGTCCCTGCTCGATTCGAATTTTGTCCAGATCAAAGCAATTAATATAGAGCGCAAGATGTAAAATTAAATCTCATCGAATTTATAAGCGGGTTGAATTTTACTTGCTCACGCAGTGAAAAAATTCGAAGAAGTTCCAAGATAATTTTTACAAAAAACGCGCGGAAATGAGGACCAGATTCCGTGGATTCTTTCTATGTTTAACTAAACATATTACATCAATGTAAATTTTAAGTTCAGTCAAATGCGCACATGCTCTGCAATATATAAGAGTAAAGAATTGCCCATGTAGGAGTGATGGTTATAACTTTGTTGTTAGAAAATTTCTTTGAGCAAAGTGACGAAGTCATCTGTGTTGAAAAACAAGGTCTCGCACCGATTCTATATTTTTTTAACTATGCCACAGCAAAATAAATTTTAGTTAAGTCTCGTGTACAAAACATATTTTTATAGAATAATAACTGTCGCTCATATATAGGTAATAGTGCCAGCTTTGATACCAATAAAAGCTTTCGAAATGAAAAATCATAAAATAAACTTACGGACGCATTCAGGTGGGGCGAGTACACTCCATGTTCTATCATTCCTGCATTCAGAGATTCTTGTTCCTTTAACTTTGTAGCCAGGCAGGCAGATCCATCGACATTTCGATCCAACGTTCACGCCGTCCGAACATTTAATATAACTATATTCAGGCAGAGGGAGCTCCTTGAAACATTCTAGAATGAAGAATATAAGGTTGAGTGTGCATGAACCAAACTTAGAATGGAAAAATAACAGATTAGGTTGTTGAACGCGTATTCCTGCTGAGGCGAATACTGGCTTCATCATATGGAAAACGATGGCCTATATATCCTGTCACACGTCCAATAGGCTTTTCAGATTCATGGCCTTGGGTAGCGAGTGAACACATGAACGAGCAGCATTGAACCACACTGCGACGGCGAAATTCTCTCGCGCATAACGGCAAGTCTTTACTTTGAACATTGCACTTAATTGCTAGTCGCACTTTTGGTGTTGGGCGTACAAATAGGTCTCTATGCTCTATATCCGGGGTGCACAACACGGGGCACTCGTGCCAAATTTGGCACGCCATACGCTCAAACATGGAACGCGAACGGTTTTGTTAACAAATTTTTTTTATTTATGATATACATTAATATCACGTTTATATCAAAATCAGCAGTTTTTCAGAACATTAAATTGTTTCAATAAATAGATATTCGTTATTATGTATTATTATTGAAATTTGTTTGACGTGTTTTACGGGAGTTAATTTACAATACGAAAAATTGTGCGTGGCACGCGACAAGATTATTTTGAAATATTTAGCACGTGTCCTCATTTGAGTTGTGCACCCCTGCTCTATATGACAGCACAATACCCCTCAGCGTAAAATGCCATTCGAATGGCGATTGAGGCCATGTATCCAACCAAATACTCAACAACAACTGCCTAATACCTCCACTCCAGAACCTATATCGCTCGTAAATATTTTACGGACTGATTGAAATTTCCTGCTGAAATTTGAAACTAACCACACAGTCATACTGTTGGTGAATACGTTAAATTCACTGGCATTGCAGTGTAATCGAATACGGTTCCATTACATTTGAACCCGTGTACATTTGAACCCACAACAATTGCCTGCATACTATTGCACCTATGGAAATTTTCATTGTTTTACGGATATTTGAACCCATACTAACCCTAACCCATGAGTTTTAGCACCCGCATATTGATTGAACCCGCGGATATACACATGGGTTCAAATTTACATGGTTCAAATGCACGTGGGTTCAAATGTACGGTGACCATCGAATACATATGATAGGTCACATACATCTTCCTATTTTAATGTCACAAGCGGTAATTAAAAACTCATGAAACAAGCCTTTGATTATGGTTTCATTCGCTTAACCAGATGTAAAGTAGAAAATTTGCTCACTGAAGCTAGATCATGTGGTAAAAGACACAACTCTGAGCAAAACATCGGTTCATCATAGATATACCAAGATCTACTGAGAGTATGCAGAATTATGGTTGACCATTTCATGAAAAGGCTTAGAAGCACAGGGAATTCATCTCTGAGCAAAGTCATGCTCGACCATTGAAATGCCATGAACTACTATAATGGTGCATTCACTGCAGATTAGCGGGAGACTTAGAGCATCTTAGTTAGAGTGATACGAACAGGAAAACGCATATTAGGTAAAGAATTACACATAACTGAAATTCTCGTAAAAGGGTGTGCGCACTGACAATAAACAAACGAGTGATTATATACATTCGCTGTTGCAATATTCAAATTTCAAATTCCGTGGTTTTCTGGCATCTATGACGCGTTAGTTTATCAATCATGTGGTGAATCCCTCGCTTAATCGGTTGTTGCTTTGTTATCGAATACACGGATCTTGTATTTTCAGACAGAATTAACAATGCCCTGCGGCGGTACGAGGTTAGGTTAGATGTAAGGTTGAAGCTATCTCAGGACCTGATATGATATGGGCTAAAAGTCTAAGATAAGATCGAACTCCGGAATCAGGATATTTTTGGCCGTAAATGTTAGTGACGTAATATCTAAGGTTTGAAAATACATGATGTTTTAAAAGACTGTATCACATAGTTACCTCAGTTGAAAATTAGTATGTAAAATTTTGCAAATTGAGGTTTTTATAGAAATAAGATGACAAAGTAAAAACCATTTACTTGGCAAAGCAAAGTAACTCATCACTAGTTAATTTTCATTTCGACAGCTTTCTTAAACAGCAGGCGCTCACAAAATGCTTTGCCGGTCCCATGCGGTCCGCGGGTCGTAGTTCGCTCATGCCTGTCCTAGGCGCATATATGATATGAGCGTAATATCCAAAATCTTGGACTGAAGTGGATTTATCTCAGGGAATATATGATATTAGTGGTAAACTCAAGGTTATCTTAGGCCCATTTATGATGTGGGCAAAAATTATTCTCGCATATTTTCTGTCAATGTTATTTCCAGTAGTGAAACTATCTCAGGATCATGGTACATGATATGAGCCAAATATATTCCCGAATACCACGAGACCCAAACCATATAATATTCGCGAGCTTATCTCCCTCGGCCATTACAGATTAACATTCCCAGCCAAAGCGAAAGATTTGGTTCCGGATCAGTCTGACCGCTGTTATTATTTCCATCTCCACATCAGCGCGATTTTGTCAAATTCTATAAAAATTAGTTTTGAGAATGAAAATATCTAGAAAAGAGTTTCTGCAAAGTTGGCAAATTTAATGGATTATTAAAAATTGATGATTTTGATTTTTCATGGAATTAATCGTAAACAATGATTATGATTCATATGAGAAAATCACCTATAGTCTGCAATTATATTAATTATTCGTCGTTTTTATAAAACTGCGACGGTAATAAAGCGTTCCATTCTTCCGTGCCTCGAGATTCTAAACCACATTTCAAAATTCGGTACTCCCGTAGTATGTTAGCCAACTAAATATACCCCCTGCCCATAGGTTTCTGTCCATTTACACAACTTGATGTAAAGTAGGCGAACAAAATTAGTTACCTATATGTTGGTACACACACTTCTGGAGCGACAAAAATTCATCAAAATTGCCGTCTACAGAAATCACATCATATTATCTATCACAGCGGTTCTCAATTTAATTTTTTGATTAAATTTTGAATAATTGTCAGCTGGTGTTACGCGCAACTCGCACTCTTGCTGCTTCAATAGTTTATACTACGTCAATGAATATGTATTACAATAATACCAGCTAAATTGAGATTATCAGTGAAACTACGTTGAATACAAAGTAAAATTTCTGTATTTTTTTTCCAAAAGAACAAAATTCTTCACTGCGGATAGGAAGCACTGACAAAACATAGCAAAAAATTTAAGATATCCAAATTATCCCTTCTAGAAATTGCAAGTGTTTATCACTATGCATGTTATTGACTATCATCAAGTGCGTGATTTAAATTCAATGGTCGCTCTATGTTGCGTGCGCGTTAGAATGTATGACTCGAAATCTTAATTTATAATTGTATCGTCTCAATTATTACATAAAAATAAATAAATTATGCAATCATTAGATTTGACGATCTGGGTATTCCGCTATGACTTGAGATATTACATCAGATAATTTAAAATTTCATAATATTCGAAATTTAAATACAATTTTATCATCGTGTACAATCTCTAAACCAGTATGCGCCTTCGTTTGTTAGTTATTTGGGTAATAATTTTTATCCGACTCAAGCCGTCCTACCGGCCTACATCTCTTCACGAACTAAACATTAAACACTAAACATTTTCCTATTTCATCCATATTCTTGAATTCGCCCAGACTGTCTCAAATGAAACTTTAATCCCGGAAATTGGTAAATTTTGCGGTTGCACGTTGGCTACATTTGGAAATGTTTTTATAGCTGATCCAGCAATTATTCCATAAAATTACAAAGCAATAAATATAATATGTTACCGCAATTACCCTTTGTCACAATCCCTAATTAGAAAAAAATTCCGTGATTTTTATGGCTGTTTAAATCTATCAAGTCTAACAAGTGACGGCATTGTCTGAGTTACGAGCAGATTCAGATTCTCCTTAAAGATTTACTTCTTTTGTATGAGCATCTACTTGTTCGCAGCCTTGTTTGGCGTTAACATATTTTGGTAAAATATTATTAGAACTCCTAAATACATATTTGCAGCTAAATATACACGCAGAAGAGTAAACTAGGCAACTTGCGCTAGTTCTTGCTTGGCTGATTGCAACAGCAACGCGCTACTGACAGCTTCTTATTTATATGCGCCTCAAAGCTAGTGAATCTGTATTTACGCAACCATACAGTAAAGCAAGAATCAAATTAGCTATGAGGTCTAGACTAGACCACTATTAATTTTTTTTTAGATGAATGAAACTTCAACTCACCGTGTAGACAAGGCATTTCAACTTCATTGCATAGATTACTTCGGCACATACACTTGCAAGCGACGTCTTTAATGCTGTGAATGAAGAACACTCGTAAGTGAATGAATAAATTTTAGAGAGAAATTTGTCGTAGTTAAAATGCCATGTCTGTCGTATCGACCGAACAATCGGGCAAACAATCCAGAACGGGCAGGATTCAGATTCATCAACCCCCTCCCCGCATTTAAAAAAAAATATATATATAGCTACTTGCGCATCAATGGGTGCTTGTACAAGGCATATCGTTCGGGGTAAAGGAAGGGGTCCGAACAGTAGGAAATCGAGACCCACTTTTGCCTTCCAGTACGAATCTTCGTAATGCTGTAGCGGAAAAAATTTCTGTATTTTTAAGAATAGTGGACTCGTCTATCAGCAGTTGACACTTTTCTAGAGCAATGTTTTTAGTGAATGTTTGAAAAATACAAGCACTCACTTTTCCCTTCCAGAACAAGCCTTCGTGATGTCTCTCCCATTCTGTATCTGCTTTCCGAGTTCGGGTCTCCACTGGGCGCAACGTTTGGTTATCTTGGGAACTCCTTTCGAGTATCGGACTTCGTTCAGACAGGCATCCTTGTCGTGAGGGCATTTGATGGTGTTTTTCATTCCTCTGCATGCTGTACATTGTGTGTGAGTGTTATACTATTATTTCATTATATTCGATACAATTCACATCGAGAGCTTTTGATCGTAATTCAAACGACGACATTATAAAATGTATAATTGGACAGCGTGTGCATGATCCAATAACTTAGGCTATTTCGGATTCCAGAAGTATAAAACTACACTAATAGATTTGAAGGAAACCAACTAATTCTTCAAGAACTACATCCTTATGAAATCTATTAAGTATTATTTCAACATAAGAACGATATTTATTCACAGATTATTGATACAGATCCTAGAAGCAGCTTTTCAATTGAGACATTTTTACCCTTGTTGTCTATCTCTCCATTGCAAACGTAGCATTGCTGCGACATCCGGACGACCGTTTGTGCGATTTCTCCGATCTTTTCGCCGAACCCGCCGAGTCCTTGCACAATGAGAATGTATTCACGCTGTGGAGATGAATAAATGTGTTAGTTTTATAAGTTGGATATCTCGGGTTCAAGTCCCATATCCAACGCCACAGAGTGAACAAAATTGAAAATTATTCCGGCTTCTTCAAAAACACAACCCAAATAGTTATTTGGAGTTGCCAAACAAAACAATAAATTCGATAAACTTAACATTCAGGAAGGTGTTTTACCGATACTGTTCACTTATTCTGCTTCAAAACTCCTTTCAATCTTTATATACTAAAGCGTGATGGGTACTCCTGAAGTTTGAGGACCAAGATGTCGCACAACCTGAACCCTAACCTGGTACACAACCTGAGTTACACAACCTGAGTTCAGGTTCAGCGCCATCTTGGTTCGCATACTTCAGGAGGTCCGCGTGATGCATTACCATAATTCTCCATGGTTGGAGTAGCCATTTGCATTTTAGCGCTCTCACATAACCTTGCTCAGAGATGAGTCTCCTTTACTTCTGATTGAGTAAGTGCAATGCATCACCGTGATTTAATAAACCTCCAGTAGCCTTTAGTATTTTAGTCATCGTCTGCAACTTTCCTGAGCTGAGACTGCTTAGTTCTGGTAAGTGCGCGCAATGCACAGCCATGTTGATTCTGTAGCTCTTGGCATTTCAGTGCTCGCTCTTACCTTTTTTTAAAATTAATCCCTTTTGAGTGAGCGTGCGTCATTTGGCCCATATATCATTTTCTCCTTGCCTCCAAGTGGATACGATTGACTTTGTTTAAAGCAAATATTTTTTTTTTTAAATAGAAACACAAAACAAAAACTCACTCCTGGCATAAGTTTCTGTAGGGTAGCGGATCTGGCTTGATCGTTCACATTTGTCGTCGAAGCAACATTTCCCGCCCTTTTTCCATCGACCCATTCTCGGGCTGTCACCCTGAATAAAAAGGTAATAGTTATAGCTAGAGAGATGGAACTTATTTTCAATGCAAAATCGAATCCGAATCTACATGGATATTGGCTCAACTCCGATTTCTTCTTCTGCTTTTATTTGATTACGACACTAGCATATGACATGCACTGAGAAATTATTTGTCTCTCCCATTTTTTTTAGTTCTATCCGCTTGAAATCCCAACCCCTCTCGCCCTTGATAAGCTCAAGGTTGCTGCTTTGTTAGACTCCTTATTTATTAAAACACGGCTCCACTCCAATCTCATTATTTCAAAATATATTGAACGCAATGTCAGGGCCTTTCAATGGTTCGAATGTCGTTACAAAACTATTAATGATTCGTGCGGTACGCACTGTCAAAAACAGTAGTTTCATAACGCTAAATTTTCAAATTAGATATTTGAACATCGGGCGTCGCTGCTCGATAACTAGCTTTGGTTTCCCGTGACTTCCCTTCCCCAGTAAAACTGTAATTATCTTTTTTTACGTATTAGTTGTGTTCTTTTTTTTTATTTACTGGTTGGAAAAAATAAAACTTGACTCGACAAAACTAAGAGATGAAACTCAAATTTTTAGCTCCGCATATTTCAGGAATCTGCCGCGGGCCTATCTGTTGCGTACAACGGCAAAATTCATTTTTACGTCGGTCCTGACATTAAACAGAAATGTTCAGTAAAAATCTGAAGAATATCCGAATATTTGAGATGTTTGAAATGAAAATCCGAGTTGAAATGATAAATATATTTGTGCAAAAATATGAAATGTGAAAATTCGCTCTAAACAAGGTCAAGCGAGCTCACTCATGAACAAAAACCACATCTCTGAACGGCGGAATTTAACTCTAAACAGCATGAATCTCCAATCAACATTTCAATATAAACCAAAATTTTTTTTATTTTTTTTTTATTTTCAATTTTTCTTTTCAAGTCGTCAATATTACATAAATGAATCTTTGAAGCGCGGATTGTTTTACGATTGTATACGTTAGGTAATGCGCCCTAATTGGGCTTTAATAGCAACCAGAAAACAAATTTTACGATTCTCATAAAGCGATGACAGCAAAACAATTTACGAGTTGTCGTTTATAAGTTATGGGCTGTCAAATATTGTGGCGGTTGAGGCCCTGTGATTTATGTTCTACTTGACGATTTATTACAGGTTCAATTATGTAACGAAGTTTTATTTCCGTGGGCACGTGGCACTGGAACTGTTAGTGTAGTGCTCAGCAGACTGCTACTTTCGAATTCGAACATTTTGAAAACCGAAACCCGGTTGTGACTCCCGGATTTCATTTACGACTCCGACTTCAACAAAAACTCTTGACATATCGTGAGATATTAGTGGCCGCATGTATGGAATCTTGTTCGAGGAAAAGCGTGATGAGCGTCGAATATGAAGATCTTTTTAAATACTGAAATATTAACTACCACCTCACAAGACTTCTTCATTTTCAGTTTCGAATCCGATTCCCAACTCCGGTGCCTTAAAATTTTGATTCCTACCGCGAAATATGCCGCAGATTCTTTCCCTGGGCATGGGGGCTTACGACAAATTTGCGGACTCGGATATGTGCTTGTCCGTCGGATTAATACTTCTGAACCCCAACTTTTAATAAACGGAATTGAATCCTGACTCCGGGCCTCTCAGCCCGGGAAAGTATAAAACTAGACTTCAGAAAACTACATTCATCTTTGTGGTTGATACAACATGCTTGCATTTTACAGACCCACAAGCGCAGAAGCATATAATATAAGAAGTCCATGCCAAAGAAACCGAATTGATATAATTTTTCTTATTTTTAAACTCATTATATATGCAGCCGAATTTTAAACAGGGGTATATACAGGGATGCATACCTAGTGGATGATTGTACATAGCCCTGTTAGAATTGGAGGCAAACGCTGTATAAACAATTGTACACTTTGTTTTCAGGAACCAAATACTCACAGATATCTTTTCGCTCCCTGTACGTATGAGAATCCCACCTTAACGCTTGTTGTTTGGACGAATAAAATATTCACTGTGGATTTTCCGAGCTGTATCGGTCGCCTTGACAACGATCTACGTCGTTTCCGTTTCCTGGCCTCGCTTGTGCTATCCAATATTAACAAAATCACCACAAATAGTAGAATAAATCGCCGCATTTTATACAATAGCGACATTCTTAATTCGCAGCTGCAGACAAGGCAAAAAGTTATTTAAAAAAAAAATTGTTGACAGTACTGGGCCAACTTGTCTCGAGAGTAACCTAGACGGTAAGCGCGACACTCAAACCTATCGTTTGAAAATCGTGACCATGTAAGAGTCTAGTATTTGCATGTCTGGTCTAAAACTCATGCTTTTACCGATATCGATGAAAATCTACACATCACTAGTGAATCCATAGGTAGCGTGTTAGGGACACTTGAAACTTTGCTAACAATCCGGGCTGTACTCAAAGGTTACTTATCTAGGATTTATTGTTCATCAACTCTCCCTGGATGTAAGATAGACAATGGGTCATCGGAAAGATTCTGGTCTGTCAAGTTAGCTCCTTACAAAACGTTGGATATCCAGGCTTATCTATAGGATATATTTTCATGTTCTACAGTTTATCACTGTCTCTTCCCATCCCACGGTACCTCTCCCATGCACAAGTCTGTGGATATCACTAGACAGAATCTAGTTCTGAGCGAAAGGCACGATTAGGCTTTGTTTTAATAAAAACTTCAACAATGGGTCTAGCAATGGAAACATCAAAAGTCCAACCGCTACTCTATTAGCAAACGTTAAACACTATCACGGTAATACGGTAAAAGTTCTGGACCTGTCCGACCAGACCGAAACTAACTGAGCGAACATAATGTAGCTGATATTTCCGATAATAATTAAGAAGAAATCTATAAAAGCGTGAATTCCGAGCAATTAAGTAAGTGATTCGGTACGCAATGTTTATTGTTAATACCAGGCGCTGTCTAACACGCAAAACCAACAAGTCACGATTTCCCGATTTTGATTAAAAATACGTGATTCACGAAACTTATCCGTAAGCAATAATTACGCATCCATATATGGAGGCATAAATAATATCCGTATTTTTCGGAACATTGTTTTATGACCCTGAGTGGGAACTGGATGACCTTGAATGGAGCATGATAAACTTGAGTGGGGCGCAATGACCTTGAATGATACCAAATGACCCTGAGTGGGACTTTCCGACCTCCAGTGGGACCTGATAACCTAGGCTTACCCTTTATGTCATTTTTAATGGGATCGTAGTGATCTCGAGTTGGACCTGATGACATGAGATAAGACGCTGATACGATAAAATAAAAATACGTAACTTTTGATAAAGTCAAGTGGGATACCCATGGGTCATGGCCTGAAACCTCTATTATGCTATTTTTCAGAACTATAATGAAGCGCCAATTTTTTTTATACAAGCAAACTATATTAGCAATATGGATACTGCATTATCCAGGTATAATCCCAAAATTGTACTCTAATTGCCAATTTCTATTTTGTTCAATATCCTACATTTATAAATATTTCTATTCATGTTTTGTCGGAGAATTTAACAAAATGAGATTTCCAAAGCGATACGCTTTATATATACTAATTTCTTTCTGTTTGCTCTGAATGATGGATATAATCTACCTATTAGTCCAGTATATCCCATTTCATAATCAAAAATATTTATAATTTTTCTAAATCAAGATTTCTAAAAAATTATATGATTTTTTATAACGAAAGGTAACGGCGCTAAATTGCAAAACTCTAATAAAATTTGAATCAATTCTAAATCATGTTTGGCGAATCTAAGAGTTTTCGCGGAAATTTGATCGCTTTGCGAACAGCGGCGACGTGGTCCGAGCGTTGTGTTATGTCGGCATAACAGGCCAAGTTAATCTTAGAGCATAAGAACAGATAGTGTATAGTATCGAGATGAAAGCCCAAACATTTTATTCCGTTCGACAGACGTATTTGCGATCCATCAACGGCACATACGGTTCTTATTTTCAGAAAATTTAACTTTTTGCGGAACGCTCCCTAAATATAAATCTATAATTTTTTGTTATGACGTAACTCCATAATGTAGCAACGTAGAATCGTTTTCTCTTGTTCTGCTGATGTATTGGAAGTTATCCTACGGCACATAGACATTACATGCATATTTCCATAACGGTTCTATATATTTCAAGAAATTCCAGACACAATTATGACAATGTAACTACTAATTGCAACACTCTCCCTATTTCGACTCAGTATATTTTATTTAAGACTTATAAATTGCGGAAAAATAATAATGAAAATAATGTTATGACTCTTCATACAAAGTGGAAGATTCAGCATTTATTTTATTTCTAACAAAGCTGTTCGGAATCTGGACCCAGCACATACATTCTTCTCTGTATATTGTCACATCAGCTGCTCTGCTTAAAAAATTAGTCCAACAACACACGCTTATTTTTTCGGTTTAATATATTATATTAGATATACACGCTGCGTAAAATCAATAAATATCAATTACTACTACCTATTCTATCTACGTTTACTTTCGTTCACATCGGGTAGTGGACTGAGTTATGTATAGCAACAAAGCACTAACACTCTTTTTTTTCTTTCGGAAAATCTAATCGAAGACAACCTAAAGCATACGCTCATCCGCACTGCACGTCTGAACTACAACTACAACGAACAACAGTTACTTGAAATTCAACTTTTTTTATTGAAATTCGAGACAAAACTTTTTTCTTTGAAATTAACGCGACGTCGCTTTTTTATTTCCAAGTTCAAGCGCAATTATAACAGGTCGTTCTCATGTTTACGACTTAATTAGAATTTCACGGCAAAGAACCGATTCGGCCGACAACACGACGAAGCCTCAGAGCATACATAAATGTATATGATTCTAGATCTATTATTCGGGCTAACTTTATATCCGTTACAATTATTTGAACTTTTTGTTGGTATTGCCGTTTTGAAATTGACTGTGCGTGTTTTTCTGGCAATCATTCATGTATTTGTGGTATGGACCTTACAGGTAAGTATGAGACCTTACAGTGATATTTGATCAAGCTTAATCTATGCTTTGAGATATTTAATAATATATAAAATTTCTTCATATACCCTCCGTTTAGGTTACTTTAAGGTTTTTGCCAACACCATCTGAGTAAAATGATTCAAAGTCAGATAGTATGGCACGGACAATGTATGCATGAGTTATCTTGGCAAATGATTTTAATTCTTTTAATTATTTCTTGTTATATTCTGTACTGCTATCAATAATATGTGTAATCCCTCGCGTCCGGTAATTTGCTACATCTACCTGTCACTTGAGCCATCCATGGTCTAGGGAAAGCCGAGTTTCGTCTGCCAACATGGCAAAACATCTCTCAACCCAGTAATTAAATCTGTTTTATGAAAGTCATTGTTTGTTATTATTACGAGTAATATCGTTTAACACGACTGGAGGAAAATACGCAGATTGGTATCTGAGCCAAACTAGGCTAAAGGAAGGTTTATTTTGATAACCTTTATGAAACTATTTCAGTTCTTCATTCTGAAAAATACCTAGTTTCATATCCTATCATTAATTTTCTGATCTGTTTTTATTGATTGTGTTTATCGGGTAAGTTGGGTTATTGCCCGACCCTTCTCGGATCAGAAAGTGGCGAGTCAATAACAGTATAGCATTTAGTCGAACCTTGGACGAGCAACCACAGATACGCGTAAAGAAGGATGTAAGCAACCGTTGCACACGAATTTATGAAAATACTGATTTTTGGAACATCCCTTACACCTTATATGAGGTGACTAAATTTCTTTCTTGTATTACCTGAAGATTTCCGACGCTTTGAACACGAGGCCAACATGTCCATCATATCGGAAGATTGTAGGCATGGGAATTGAAGACGAGTCTCAGACTTGCGCCCAACGCTTTGTCAGCTTGGCCCAAAAACATTTTTCCTAATTTCACAACGTTTACTCGCGGTTTAACCCGAATATGTATGCACTGATATGAATAAAACCTCTATTGGACAAATTTCCGCGCTACCACGAAGCTTAGTCACGTTTTGTTTTCACGCGACAATAATATTATTGGCATTAAAGGCATCAGCTACCAAAATTGGCCGCCAATACAATCACGATAAATCGAAGTCACGAAAACGTGGGACAGCAGATTATTATCCAATACGTGTTGCCGAGCACGCTACTGGAAAGTTCCTGACAATAAAAGTTGGCAACAGTCATTACTGTGTTTTCCAACCTTTTTTGATACAATCCTCCCTTTGCCTTTTCATATCCGTTTATTCCTCCCTCACACTCATGCTTAAGATCTCTGCTTTTGTTATTCGTTCATCATTTAAAAGATACTCAGTTAGTGTTACGTGCGAACTTCACTCTGGATTCTGTACAGTTGAAGTAATATATAATATGTATTACAAAGATGCTAAATACCTAAACAATATTTGTAAAACTATATCGAATACAAAGTTAGATTTCAGTTGCTCCTCATTGGAAAAAAAAAAAAAATTCTCTAAGGTTAAGAATTCGTCCCCGGTTGGGAAACTATGTCGGCATATTAGTATCGCGGATAAATGAAAATCACAAAATACTATTGGGAAGTAAGTTTAGGGTGTCCTTTTTTAAATTGCAAAGGGAATTGATTTATCGATACCATATATTGTTTTGGTCTTCACAGATGTAAATGATATAAAAATCCTTAAACCATTACTGATTAAAAAACAACAAACCTGGTTAAGATATATTGAGAACTGACTTCATAACAAAATTGAAATTGTAAAGGGACTTTGTAGATACCCTGCAGTATTTTTTTTTTTTGCAAAGTCTCGGAGAAGTATGGGCCATACTTGGGACTAGATGAGATACTGAATTTTACCAATACTTTGTAAAGGATCACGATCGGAAACACAACATTCAGTTGTAATTTTTTCCACGAAAACGCTTGCTTTGTGGGACTACCGTTTGGCAGCTGACTATGTCATCTTGTCCCTGTCGGCCATGGGGGTAGTTCACCGTATATTAGTTTGAGATGAGCGGATGAGCTTTATAGCAAATAAATCAACTTGAATCAGCGTTATAATCGTTTAATCATATCTTTTTGTTGCATAGCATTTCACGGAATGCGATGTAAAACTGAAACCGAATCGGTCTTTTGTATCATTAAAACCCGTT